ACCACTTGCCGGCCCCGAAAATTAAATAATTTTTTTAAAAGGAAAAGAAAGTCTTTTTCTTCCCGTCTCTCTTTTCTTTCAGGTTTTTGCCATAAGGAATGTGCGTTGCCAGAGAGAGACAGAGATGCAGAGAGAAAGAGAGAGAGAGAGAGAGAGCAAGTGAGAAATCATCTCCCAGGGGGATGGCCATGCTACAATCCTTTCTCCTCCTTTCTCCTCCAGGGATTCTGGGCACGCATGAACACACACCCAGTGTGATTTTCAAGTTGCTAGGTCCAGGGTTTGACCTGTGGTCACAGCCATTTGGGAGTCCAGCATCTTAACCAACACGCCATCTGCTGATCCCAATAGTTCTGTTTTTTTTTTTGTTTTTTTTTTTTAAAGAGAGGTTTTTGCTATAGGACACGTGTGCTTGCCAGAGAGACAGAGCAAGACAGTGACAAAAAGTAAGAAATCAACCCCCAGGGTAAATGGCCATGCCACAGTCCCTTCTCCTCCATTCTCCTCTTGGGATTTTGGGGACACATGCACATGCACCCAGTGTGAGTTTTAAGACACCAGGCCTGGGACTCGAACTGTGTAAGACTATGTGGGAGACTAGTGATGTAACCATTACACCATCCGCTGGTCCCACAATAGTTCTATTTTAATTCAGTAAACCAACACTCTCATAAATATAGTTTCTTGTAACCCTTTATGTTAACCCTATTTACAAGCATAAACAACTAGGATGTCCAACCCTAATGCCAGGTAAAAAGGAATTGTGCTTCTGATCTAAATAATCCAAAGTTCTTTTCTTCCGGGGGGATGCAAATGAAATGCAACAGACAAGAATTTCAATTTGTTTTGTATTTCATTAAAATGTGATAAACTGGTATAGTAGTTTATATATGAATCATTTTACCAGGACCTAATTATATCTAAGTAAAATGAAAATACCATGTTTTTAAACTTGTAAAGCTAAGGATTAGATTCTAAAACCAAAACAGTTGCTAAAGTAGTCCTAAGGCCCATTGCAAACAATAAGAATATGTTTACTGCTGACTAAAAGTGTTTATTTAGGGCCAGCAGGTGGCATGTAGGTTAAGCTGCTTGATCCCCTGTGACCGACTATATGATTCAAGTCCTGGATCTGTTGGCTTGAAAATCACACCGGGCACGTTTGCCTCGAAGATCTTCTCCAAGACACATTAAAACCAGACTGACCAAAACCACAAGACAAGATACTAAGATTGGCACGAGAGAAACAGCAAGCTACCTTCAAAGGATATCCCATCAGGCTAACAGTGGACCTCTTGTTGGAAACAATGTGAGTGAGGAAAGAATGGGAAAATATATTCAAAGTGTTAAGTGAAAAGAAACCTGAGACCTAAAAACTAGCCACAGTAGTAACTTTACTCACAATCAGCTGAACTCACATTAATGGAAAATGCTTTTGTGGTTGAATCCACCAGTATAGGAATAATGCAGAATTAGTTAAAAGAAATTAACCTGTACTAACTATGAAGTTGTCGGGAAAAGCATAACATTTTTTTCTGGTTTTTTTTTTTTTTTTTTTGGTTTTGTTTGTTTGTTTTGCTATAGGGAGCTACCAAAGTGACAGAGAGAGGAAAGTGAGAAATAATACCTCAGGGTGGATGGCCACACCACCATCCCTTCTCCATTCTCCT